ATTGGTCTATAATTTTATTTCTTTGTTCTGACTCTTCCTGGTTTAGGTATCAACACCACATTTGTATCATAAAAAGAATTTGGTAAGACTCCTTCCTCACCTATTTTCCCAAATAGTCTATGTAGTATTGGAATTAATTTTTCTTTAAATGTTTTATAGAATTCGCATGTAAATCCATCTGGCCTTGGAGATTTTTTCCTAGGGAGTTCATCAATGGCTTGTTCAATTTCTTTTTCTGAGATGGGGTTATTTAAGTATTTTACTTCCTCTTCAGTTAATCTGGGCAGTTTATATTTTTGTAAATATGTATCCATTTCACTAAGATTGTCAAATTTGTTGGCATATAGTTGGGCAAAATAATTCCTAATTATTGTTTTAATTTCCTCTTCTGTGGTGGTAGCTTCACCCTCTTCATTCTTGATACTAGTAATTTGGTTTTCTTCTTTTTTTTTTTAATTAAATTAACCAAAGGCTTATCTATTTTATTGTTTTTTCATAAAACCAGCTCTTAGTTTTATTTATTAGTTCAATAGTTTTCTTAATTTCAACTTTATTAATTTTTCCTTTGGTTTTCAATATTTCTAATTTGGTGTTTAGTTGAGGATTTTAATTTGTTCTTTTTCTAGTTTTTTTAGTTGTGTGCCCAATTCATTAATCTCCTCTTTTTCTATTTTATTTATGTAAGCATTTAGAGATATAAAAATTCCCCTAAGAACTGCTTTGGCTGCATCCCATAGGTTTTGGTATGTTGTCTCATTATTGTCATTCTCTTGAATGAAATTATTGATTGTTTCTATGATTTGTTGTTTGACCCAATCATGTTTTAGGATTAGATTATTTCGTTTCCAATTATTTTTTAGTCTGTCTTTCCATGGCCCTTTATTACATATAATTTTTATTGCATCATGATCTGAAAAGGATGCATTTAATATTTCTGCCTTTCTGCATTGGATTGTGAGGTTTTTATGCCCTAGTACATGGTCAATTTTTGTGTATGTGCCATGTACTGAAGAGAAACCAACAGTGCAACCTTAATAAGTCTCTTATTGTTTATCTTTCCTGTTTACCTCTTCGTGTTCCACTTGAGTCTTGTATTTGAAAGTCAAATTTTCTGTTCAGCTCTGTTATTTTCATCAAGAATGCTTGAAAGTCTTCTATTTCACTGAATGGCCATTTTTTTTCCCCTGAATGATTATGCTCAGTTTTGCTGGGTAGATGATTCTTGGTTGTAATCCCCTCTCCTTTGCCCTCTGGAATGTTATATTCCATGCCCTGTTGTCCCTTAATGTAGAAGCTAAGTCTTGTGTTATCCTGATTGTGTCTCCACAATGTTTGAATTGTTTCTTTCTGGCTGCTTTCAATATTTTCTCCTTGCCCTAGGAACTCTGGAATTTGTCTTCAAAATTCCTAGGAGTTTTCCTGTGGGGATCTCTTTCAGGAAGTGATTGGTGGATTCTTTCAATTTCTATTTTGCTCTCTGGTACTAAAATATCAGGGCAGTTTTCCTTCATAATTTCTTTTTCTTTTTTGCTTTTTGGCTAGGTAATGGGGTTAAGTGACTTGCCCAGCATCACACAGCTAGTAAGTGTTATGTCTCTGAGTTCAGATTTGAACTCAGGTCCTCATGACTCCAAGGCTGGAGTTCTATCCACTGTGTCACCCAGTGCCCCCATAATTTCTTGAAAGATGATGTCTAGGCTCTTTTTTTGATCATGGCTTTCAGATCATCCAATAATTTTTAAATTCTCTCTCCTGGACATATTTTCCAGGTCAGTTGCTTTTCCAATGTGATATCTCACATCGTTTTCTAATTTTTCATTCTCTTGGATTTGTTTTACAGTGTCTTGATTTTTCACAAAGTAACTAGCTTCCAATTGCTCTATTCTAATTTTTAAGGAAGTATTTTCTTCAGTAATCTTTTGGACTTTCTTTCCCATTTGACCAATTTTGCTTTTAGAACATTCTTCTCCTCATTGGTTTTTGGACCTCTTTTGCCATTTGGATTAGGCTATTTTTTAACGTGTTATTTTCTTCAGTTTTTTTTTTGGGGGGGGGGTCTCCTTTAGTAAGCTGTTAACTTGTTTTTCATGATTTTCTATCATCACTCTCATTTCTCTTCCCAATTTTTCCTCTACTTCTCTTACTTGCTTCTCAGAATTCTTTTTGAGCTCTTCCAAGGCCTGGGACTGATTCATATTTTTCTTGGAGTCTTTGGATGTAGGAGCTTTAACTTTGTTGTCTTCTTCTGGTTGTATTTTTTGATCTTGTCACCAAAAAAAAAAAAGATTCTATGGTCTGACTCTTTTTGCAAGGTTTGGTCATGACCCCAGCCAATTACTTGAGTTATAAACTCTTTGTTAAAGTAAAGGTCTGCTTCCAATTTGGAGAATGTACTGTCCTAAGCTTTGGGGGGTTGTACAGCTGTTTTCAGAGATAATTCTAGGGACCTGTAAATTTTCAGTTCTTCCAAGGTGGTATGATAAGGGGTGAGGTTTTTACTCCTTTCCTGGCCTGTGCTCTGGTCTATGAGTGACCACAAGCACTCTTTTCTGTCTTGGAACTGTTGAGGAGGATTTAATCTTCACAGCCACTGCAAGCTCCACCAAGCCAGTGCTCCTCCTTGCACCAGAACCGCCACCCAGAACTGTGACCCAGATGCAAGTAGGGGCAAAGGAAGAGAATCCTGCACCAGTAAAGAGATCCCTGCAATGCCCCTCTGATCAGCTACTAGATTCCTCTTCCGTCTGTGGGCCAGAAGCTCAGGAAGCAACCACCGCCCCGGTGCTGTTCTGGAGAACTGGGTCTGTGACCTAGCTTCTCTCTCTCATCGCAAAAACAGACTTTTCCACTGACCTTCTAAGTTGTCTTTGGCATTTGTGGGTTGAGAGGTCTGGAAACTGCCACAGCTACCTGTGATTCAGTCCTCTGAGGCCTGCTCCAGGTTTGCTGCTGCCTGTGAGCCCAAGCCAAACTGAGCTCTGAATTGCACTCCTCTCCCTGCCTTGTGAAATATACCTTTCTCATTAACTATCCAGGTTGTCTTGGGATTTAAATTTGTTTCACTCTCTTTTTGTGGGTTCTGCTGCTTTAGAATTTGTTTAGAGTGAATTTTTTTTTTACAGATATTTGGATTGATTTGGGGGAGAACTCAAGCAAGTCAATGCTTTCACTCGGCCAAGTTGGCTCTACCCCCCTAAATGGGACTTCTTAATATTATTTTTCTAGAAGTGCTGCATGCTGCTTAGAAAAATGTATATTCCTTTCTTTATTCTGTTTTCTTTTCTTTTCTTTTTGTTTTGTTTTTTTGGCTAGGCAATGGGGTTAAGTGACTTGCCCACGGTCACACAGCGAGTAAGTGTTATATGTCTGAGGCCAGATTTGAACTTAGTTCCTCTTGAATCCAGGGCCGGTGCTCTACCCACTGTGCCACCTAGCTGTGCCCCCATTCTGTTTTCTTCAGAGGTCTATCATATCCAACTTTTCTAAAATTCTGTTCACTTCCTTAACTTATTTCTTAGTTTTGCTTTGTTTTGTTGTTGTTGTTGTTGTTAGATTTACCTAAACCTGAGTTGGGGATGTTGAGGTTCCCCACTAGTATTTTTTTTAATGTCTATTTCCTCCTGTAACTCACTTAACTTCTTTAAAATGTTGGATGCTACACCATTTGGTACATATATGGTTACTGTTGATGTTACTTCATTGTGTATGGTTTCTTTTAACAACATGTAGTTTCCTTCCTTATTTCTTTTAATTAGAACTATTTTTCCTTTTCCTCTGTCTATCATGATTGCTACCCCTGCTTTTTGAATTTTAGCTGAAGCATATTAAATTCTACTCTTCTTATCTTTACTCTGTGAATATATATCTGCTTCAGATATATTTCTTGTAAACAACATGTTTAGTATTCTGGTTTATAATCCACTCTGCTATCCACTTCTATTTTGTGGGTTAGTTCATCACATTCACATTCACGATTTTGTTTACTTACTGTGCATTTCCCTCCATCTTATTTACCCTGTTCTTCCCTCCCTCCCCACTCCCTCTCTCCTCTTTCATCCTGTGCTTCCTCACAAGTGTTTTGCTTCTCACCACTGCTTCCCCCAATCTGCCCTCCCTTCTATCAGCCCACCTTCTCTTATCTAGTATATTTCCCTCCACAGTAAAAGCTCTTCCTTTCAGGCCTCTTTCCTTTGAGATAATTTATCCCATTCTACCTCTCCCTTTCTTGTTCTTCCAGTACATCCCTCTTTTTTATCCCCTAATTTTATTATTTTTGAAATCATCTCATCGGAGTCAAGTTATATTCATGCCCTCTGTATACATTCCTTCAACTGCCTTAATAATGATGAACTTCTTAATAGTTACAATTTCTTAACAGATACAAATATCATCTTCTTGTGTAAAAACATAGTCTAACCTTACTGAATCCCTTTTGTTTTCTCTTTCCTGTTTACCTACGTCAGTGAGAACATAGTTCCATTGGTATATTGAAGAAGTATTATAGATAGATAGAAATTATCTGTGCATATTCCCTCTGAAGCTTACCCTGAGCTATCTCACCTCTGAATTTGTCAATATTCACCCTGAGACTACTTCCTATTAATTCAAAATAGGCCTTTGAAATTGTGGGGATGTGAAACCCACAGCCTTCATAGCGTACCTGCTTCTCCCTGCCTTCCTCTTTCTGTCAGCCTAACTCCTTAAAATATTTCTTAAATCCAACAAATATTTTCTAGTCAGGATCAGTTCTTAATTGTGGCATAAGGGCTGAACCCATGAAAAGTCTCCATAGCTTAATTAAGTACTTGAGAATGACTAAATTATTGAATGGAATTAAGCTTCTTAATAGTGACCCAGTTGTACCAATCAGTCCTAATGTTGTGTTTGTTTGCGTGTGTGTGTGTGTGTGTGTGTGTGTGTGTGTGTGTGTATGTGTATGTGTGTGTGTTTGGGGGGAGAGGTGTTCCCGAGTTTTCCGTAGAAAAAAGTAAATGAGTAAATAATAATAGAAGTACCAGGCCTTTATTGTAGGTGATTTTTATCTTACAGAAGGAAAAAAAAATACTAAACTTTAAATTTTCAGGGAACATGAGGAAAGCAGGCAAAAGAAAAAGGGGACAAAGATCTAGCCAGTCACCCAGAAAAACAAAAGTATAAGCCCAGCTCTGACATGACAGTATACACAGGGTCCAAGATTGGGTGTGATGATCTTCAGGACTTCGTCTCGGTGGCTTCTTGCTCCAGCACCAATGTTATGACAGCAACATAATCCATTTCAGAAGTGAGACTCCCAGACTGTCATACACAGGTGATTTGCACCTTCATATGGAAGAAAATCAAAGATTTTATAAGGATTGGTAGAGTCTTAAAAGTTTTAATTGGCTTTCCATCTCTGATGTCACAGAGAGTCAGAAGCTTATTAGCTGGGAACCTGGGAGTTTCCAACAAGAAAGATTCCAGACATAGGAGTTCCAAAAAAACAAAGAAAGGTCACTTGACAAGAAGAGTGGTGGTTAACCACAGAGACAAACTATTATCACAAGGTCTAGGATTAGAAACCAGAATAATCTTTTTTAAATAGTACTATTCCAGCTCAAAGTAGATTAACTGTGTATTTACAAGAAATATGTAATTCCAAGAAGAACCCTCACATTCAGAACAGCCCGTCTTCACATCTCTGATCGGGGCAGAAGGCAGAGCTTGTAAATTGGTGGGATAGAGCCAAAACCAATAGCCCTTGGGCTGGTATCAATCTCTTCTGGACTGACAAGAGATTTCAGATTGAAATGCTGTAAAATGATGATCATGAATAAAAATAATTCCATTCGAGCTAGACCTTCTCCAACACAGACACGCTTTCCTGGAAAAGAGCAAGAGTGATATTAGTCAATGACATTGTTCAACTACTCCAACCCAGTTAATACAGTACATAAATGGCAATTTACTCCCATTTAACAAGAATGTATCATCAATGTAACGGGGCAATTGAGGTGCATTTTTAAGGGAGCTAGGAATTTGAAGACTTTAAAAGTGGGAGACAAAAGTAGGAAAAAAAAATTACCAAAGAAAAATGCAACCACCTGGGGTCATATAACATATGAGGTAAATACCTCTGAATACCCTGAAATTCACTGATAGAATGTATACAGCAAAATACTGGATGTTTATAATGATGACCCTTAGTTAATAAGAGAATATTAAACCATTTGAATTTTCATCTAATCCAGGAGCCAAGGAAGCATGGCATATATTTTAGGAAAGTTTTCATAAAATTGAGTGAAACTAGACTTTTTTTTTAAGTTGAGGTACTTCAGTTAGCTTTAGGCATTTGTAGTATTAATTCATTTTAATTATTCACACCAGAGATGTTGGTCACATGGAGTATGGTTGACCCTTTTATTTTATCTCACTTCAGAGGAAAGAACACATGAGAATCATAGTGTAATACTAAAGAAGATATAAATACTACATACGTCTGATGGTTTCAGTATAGAGCTATTCTAAATTTCAGGTCATTCAACTCATTATTTCCACAGATATTTATTTCCATGAATAAGTGTCCTGAAATGTATTGAGTACTGAATTTAGATTCTGAAGTGCTGTGCTAAAGCCCTACATCAGTATGCTTTAGTGATGACAAGACAGAAAGGGGGGGGGGCATGTCTTAGTTTGTGGTAAAGAAAATGTCCAGAATGATGGAGGTGACAGTCCTGTAGTCTACAACTATGGTCAGATCATATTTTGAAAATTCTTTTCTGTCCTAGAAATCATATTTCTGGAAGGATATTGCTAAACTAGAAAGAGTTGAGAGGAGGCTGACCAAGAAGGTGAGGGGACAGAGGAACATGTCATTCAATGATCAGTTGAAGGAACTGGGGAAGAGAATTTGAGAAGATTTGAAAATACAAACTTTCAAATATGGAAAGCCAGTTCGCATTTAAAAAACTAGATTGAATCCATTTATCCTTTCAAGGTAGAAGTAGGAGTAGTACACACATGTAGCAGTTAGGTGGTGCAATGGATAGAGTGCTGGGTCTGGAGTGAGGAAGACCTGAGTTCAGATGTGGCCTCAGACACTTACTAGCTGTTCGACCCTGGGCAAGTCACTTAACCCTGTTTGTCTTAGTTTCTTCCTCTGTACGATGAGCTAACACAGGAAATGGCAAACCACTCCAGTGTCTTTACCGAGAAAACCCCAAATGGGGTCACAAAGAGTCAGACATGACTGAAACAGCTGAACAACAACAAATAACATGCACATAGCAGAAAAACAGATTTCAATTCAATTTGTGGAAAACTCTCCTAACAAACAGAATAGAAAGGTAGACCCAGATGCCTGGGTATATAAGCAGTGAGCTTCCTATAGCTGGAGGCCTTCAAGCAATGAGTCAGTAAGGGACAGTGGAGAGAGCACTATATTTGAAGTCAGAGGAGCTGGCTTCAAAACCTACCTCTGTTACTACCTTTGTCACATTTGGCAAATAAAATCGCCTCTTTGCTTCTCCATTTTCTTATACGTAAAATAAGGGAGTTGGGCCTGAATGCCTCTAATTTCCTATCTAGCTCTAACGCTCTAAGCCCCTGATTTTATGAACTCTGCCTGAGTAGAAGTGGGATGAGAGGAACTTTTGGGGTCCCTTTTATCTTTGAGATGCTGGGAATCCTGCTGAGTTCTGGAATGGGGACAAGCACTCATGCAAACAAACTCACTGTTTCAAAAAAGCAATTCTGGGAGCTCAATTAATTATTGGGGAAGGATAAATATGAACTTTACTTACCTGCAGAAAAAGCTTTGAAATAGTCACTGTACTTAAATTTTCCATTTTCATTCAGAAAGTGTCCTGGGTCAAATTGTTCTGGATTAGGGAATTCTTTGCTGTCCAAAGCGACAGAGCTCAGTGTCGGATATACTGTTGTGCCCTAAAATAAATAAATACCACACAAATTAGCCAAGTTGCTAAATGAGCTGCTAGAATTTGAATAACTCTAGTGACACAGGGTTATTCTAAATCTCAGGAAATTCATTCATTATTTCCAAAGGTATTTATTTACAAAAGGCAGTGTTCTAGAGTGTATTGAGGGTTGGAGATGGATTCTGAAGCCCTGGGCTAGAGTCCCAAATATTTCACATGAGACATATTATTACGGGCAAATTCCTTGACAACACTTTAAGTTTTCTCACCTCTAAAATGGGCATAATTGTACCAATGACTGTGGTTGTGCCAGGAACACAAGCAACATCTACCTCAAAGTGTTACTCTAATAAGAATGTTTTCTAACTTGGAAAATACTATAAAATGTGATACTATTCTTTGTTGAAAACCTCCAATAGCTTGGTTGAAGTTTTAAGCACCTATGTTATGTGCTTGGCAATTAGGGGATAAAAAAGTGAACAAAGTATAGTCATAACTCTAGAGAGAATTTACAAGGTAGTAGTGGTAATCATATATGTGCTAAACTAACTGTGGTCAATACAATAGTTCCCAAAGAGAGAAACAAACTGCTTTGGGGAAGAGAGAGGATGGGAGAGATGATTTTTTTAACTGTCAGAAGAGTGATTATAAAACTGATAAAGTAGATAAATAACATAGAAAGGGTGGGGACCAAATATAGGTAAGCATCCCGGGTCCCAAACAAAAAGTTCCTAACATGGGGAAATATCCTTGGGGTTGAATCTTAAAACCAATATTGTTTTCAAGTTACGATACTATGTAACAATGTAGAATATAGATCTCAGGAAACCGCACATAATCTACAGGTGGAAAATTGAGTGGAAGCCCAGTGTAGGAAGTGGCTTGGTTAAGGTCACAGAGGTAGTATGCAGCAAAGTCGAGATAAGATTCTAGTCTCCAAATTCTCAATCTATTGGTAAGAAACATGCACAAATAGGAGCTTGACCAACCCTCTGAAACTGGAGCATTACTTTTCTGATGTCTATTTCTCTGCCTGGAAAGTTGGCCAATGAGACAGAGAAATCCCATTTAGTTCTTGGGTACAAATGGAGGAAATGTGAATTCTTCTGACCTTGGGGATAAAATGTCCTCTGAATTGGATGTCTTGATTCATTACATGGGCCAGGTTGGAAGGGACGAGATTAATGAATCTTAGGATCTCATGCACCACAGCATCCGTGTAAGGCATGTTTACTTTGTCCTTCATTGAAGGCATTCGTTCTGATCCAATCACTCTATCAATTTCTTCATGAAGTTTTTCTGTCAAGATACATAGAGAGATTGACACTCCTGAAAAGGCATGGCCTGAGTTACTGCCTTATGGCAACTATTCCTACATTCTAAGAGGTATGAAGGAGAGTGACATAGAAGGGCATTTGAGACTTTGTTGTTACTGCTGTTCAGTTGTTTCTGTCATGTCTCTCTTCATGACTCTTTTTAGGGTTTTCTTGGCAAAGATACTAGAGTAGTTTGCTATTTTCTTCTCCAGTTTACCGATGAGGAAACTGAGGCAAACTGGGTTATGTGATTTGCCCAGAATCTCACAGTAGTAAGTGTCTGAGGCTAATTTTGAACTCATGAAGATGAGTCTTCCTGACTCCAGGCCCAGTCCTCTATCCACTGCATCAAATAATTGCTCTATTTGGGACTTTAGTGGTACTTTTTAGTAAACTCTTAGGGAGTAAGTATTGACAATTCCTGTGACCAATGTATGTTTCAGTAACAGAAAAAATGTGGAGATCTAGTGGTCCTACTGCCACAGGTGGGACAAGAACACCCAGGGGTGTTGTCTTACCTCGTGGTGACTCCATGAGCTGAATTATCATGAGAGAAAGGTATTAGAAAGTCCCAGATCACACATGTCTACACAGTTCAGAGTAGGGAATGGGGAAGGGTTGAAGTTCCTCTTTTATCAGGTGTTTAAGGTTACAGCCAAATGTGGTGGCACCAAGAACTTAGTTTATGCCGAAGGAACTTAAAGAAATTAACAAACCAGATATACAGGCTGCTAGCTGAGTCACGGAGGGTCCCAGGACTTTCTGAAGCTAAGACTGTGATTCATCTATTGATATATATATATCTAAATAATTGGTCCAGATCATTTGATTGACTTTTCTCTGTCTTTCTGGCTCTGTCTCTGTCTCTATGTGTGTGTGTCTCTCTTACTTTATCTATCTCCCACTTGTTCTCTCTGTTTCTATTTCTTGTCCCTTGCTTTATCTCTGTCTCTGTTTCTGGCTCTGGTTCTTTCATCCTTCACCTGCAACAGACTCACTAGAATACAGTGCATCAGAGACATTGGTCCATTCACTGAATGACTCTATCTCCCTACCTCAGTTGTCAAGGTTTGAGGTCCAGACACTTCCAGGGATCATAGATTGAGAGCTGAAAGAGGCCTTGAAGGTCTCTCATGTTCAAGCCCCTCATGTTGAAGATAGTTAAATTGAGTCTCAAGGAAGGTGACTAACTTGTCTAATATTATCACAATAGAGTCTAAATTGAAATCCATGTCATGTGACTCTCAAACCACTGCCTTTTTGAAATGGCCTAGATTCACCCGTACACATTGCAGTTAGAAAGAGGGGCCTTGCTCAGACCCGGTTCAAATTGAACACAATGCCAGCTGGAATTCCTATGCCCTTCGTGCACTTAGGTCTTCAATTCCCTAATCTCTTCTTTGTCAGTATTTACCACTAACAAGAAGATCCATTGGACTCTTTATGTTTCTATCAAAATCTAGTCTTTCTCTCCCTCAGCTCACTGACAGACAGTGTGGTGCAATGGGAAACACCACTAGAAGTTCCCTTCTGGCTCAAAAGTTACGCTCTGGTGATCTCAGTGACAGTCACTCAAGAGTGAGGAGCTAGGCATTAGAAAAGTTCAGAAACTTCTCTAAAGTTCCACATTTTGTTAGAGACAGAGCCAAAGCTAGTACCCTGATGTCCTGAATCTAACTAACCCAGCACTGTTTTCTCCCAGACCCCATTGTTCAGTTGTTCCTAGATCCTCTTACCTTCCACTTCTGGGTATTTTAAAAGGATCAAGAGTCCATATCTCAGAGTGGTACTGGTTGTCTCTGTTCCAGCAAAAAGTAAATCTGCCACAGTGACTGTTACATTTTCCAGGTCAAATCCATTCTTTTGATTCTTTTTGTCCTGAGAAGTGTTTGGCATAGACATATGAGCAATGAGTTAGTGAATACAGAAATGCCTTCCTGCAGTCTCAGTGATATCTATCCCATTCTCCCCTCCAATCTGAGTGGGGCCCTGAGAAAATGAATGTGGAGCTGGATTCAAATCCCACCCACATCTCTTGCTGGCAATGTGAATGTACCGTTCTCAGCCTTATTTCTTCATCTGTAAAATGAAACTCTAAGATCTCTTCCTACTCTAGATGTATTCTATAGCTAGTGTTTACATAGCGCTTTTAGGTATGTAAAGTATTATACATATTGTCTCATTAGATCCTTACAATAGGCCTGTGAAGAAGCTACTGTTATTATCCCCATTTTACAGATGAGGAAACCAAGACTGAGAGGTTAAGTGACTAGCCCAGCGCGACACAGCTAGTAAGTGTCTAAGAATGGATTTGAACCCAGATCTTCCTGACTCCAAGGCCAGCTCTCTTATCCACCATAATACCTAGTTGTCTATGATAGGAGAAGTCTTCTAAACTTACCTATGAGCAAAGAACTTCTAGCTGCTCCTTGAAGCCAAGTTCTCTGCTACAAAAATCTAGTCCCAATGTTTCCACAATAGAACATGCATGGAAAGTGATTAATCACTGAGCCTTTGGTGAATTTGACCTTGCTAGACAGTGGGGTGGCAGCTACAGATGTTTTCTTCCATTCCCTGCATTATACTTTCCTGACCCTAACTATAGGATGTTTACCGCTTTGGACTTTGGCTGCCCTTCTAGCCGCATAGCAATCAACTCTGTTGCAACTATCAAGAATGAAGGAGGAATTACCCAAGATTATTTGTTGGGAGTCACAAGAACTTTAAATATGGGAATATGCTTCCAGACTTCCAAGGGACATAGTTAGGAGACAAATCTAGACAAGCATGTTTCCCCTTTTTTTGTGGCTTTGGCACAGAAGTCTTAAGAAGCTTGAGTTAGAACTAAAATGAAGATCTCCTGACTCTACTTTTGGTGATGAGTCCCAAAATGGGCCTTTCAGATCTACAATTCTAAGATATATCACTTCTGGAAAGATAGATTTATTTAAATTAACAATAGATTATGTTATTCTATAGGGCACTTCAAGTTACCTAATCATTTTATTTCTTTAAATCTTCCTCACAGTAGTATATCACTGTCATTTTCCATTCTCTTAAAAAATATGCTGTCTTTTATATCATTCTTTATTATAATATATTTTAATGTAAACATTTACTTGAGTTCATTTCTGGCTTCCCAGTCTTTAGTGCCTAGAACAAGTTGAGCTGTAAGGATTACTTTATCGATTAATCATTAAGGGCTTCTAGTACCAAAAGTTTTAAAAATTTATTTTAAATTTGCTGCAGATTAGGTTTAGACACCAGTAACTGGAAAATTCTGCTCAAAGCCTGACCTGGAGAAAGATGTCTAATAGAAAAAAGTGATTTTGAACCCACCTTACTATCCTCTGATGAAAGAGGCTAAATAAGAAATTTAGCTTGAGTTGAAAAGGTTATTAATTTTCACTATGCTATTCAGATTACAGAAACTCAAAGGTCCTATCTACATAAACAAAGAGAAGCAATATCTGATGAATGCAGAAAACCATTCTGGAGAGATTAGTTGCATAATGAAGTTTTAAAGTCTGCATTTTGTTTTGATTTTGCTGCATCTCTTTTCAGTCTGCTTTATTAAAGTTCTCTAGACCTAATTATGCTGCAGAAACAAACAGAATCAAATGACAAAATGACTTTTTATGTCATACCTTCTCCATTTGGATGAGTAAACAATCAGTAAAATCCTGAGGGTTGTTGAGATCCAGTAATTCTTGGTGCTCTTTGACTCGTTCAGATGCATACTGTTTTGTTTCAGATACATTTTTTAAAACTGTCCAGTGACTTCCAGGCAGGTAACGTAAGTAAGATCCTATATTATTGTAAATCTGAAAAAGAGAGACTAATAATAATAACTAACACATAGATTGCTTAGTATGTGCCAGGCATGATGCTAAACATTTTACAATTATTATCTCCTTTGATCCTCACAAAAATCTTGGGAGGCACATTATATTATTTTGCCCATTTTACAGATGAGGAAATGGAGGCAAATAGAGCTTTAAGTGATTTGCACAGGGTTATACAGTAAAGGTCTGAGGTTGGATTTGAACTCAGATTTTCCTGACTTTGGGGTGAGTGCATTATCCACTGCACCACCCAGCTCTGCCACCACATTTTGGTTTTCCGGGTGCAAAATAAAATTGTTCATTGGGCTGATTGTTCACTCTATAGCTTGATTTGGTATGTCTGTGTGTCTCTGTATCTCTGTCTGTCTGGCTGTCTTTGCCTCTATCTCTCTCTGTCTCTCTGTCTCTTTCTCTCTCTGTCTCTCTGTCTGTCTGTCTGTCTCTCTCTCTCTCTCTCTCTCACACACACACACACACACACACACACACACACAACCCACACACACACACACATGCTGGAAATGCTTGTGCTATTGAAAATTCCCACACAAGGAGTTCCTCCTTATAGATAGAATAGCAGATTTTTCATATAGTCATCTAAAATCAAAGAATCTCAGATTTAGAAGAGACTTCAGGGTTCTTCCAGTACAAATCACTTCTGAAGCAAGATTCTCCACAACAGCATTGAATATGAGTGGTATTCATCCTCTACTTGAAGATCTATTAAGAGGAGTAATTCATTACATATCAAGGCAGTCCATTCCACTATTGGATAGCCTTTTAAAAATTTATTATATATTATATGAAATATATTTAACACTATATAATAATAGATACAACATAATATATTGATATAATACAATACAATATAATGTAATGTAATGTAATGTGATATGATATGATATGATATGATATGATATGATATAATATGATATAATATGATATAATATGATATAATATAATATAATATGATATAATATAATATAATATAATATAATATAATATAATATAATATAATATAATATAATATAATATAATATAATATAATATAATATGATATGATATAATATGATATGATATGATATAATATAATATAATATAATAATATAATATAATATAATATGATATAATATAATATAATATAATATAATATGATATGATATAATATGATATAATATAATATGATATGATATAATATAATATAATATAATATGATATAATATAATATAATATAATATAATATAATATAATTATATATATATAATATAATATAATATAATATAAATATAATATAAATATATAATATAATATAATATAATATAATATAATATGATATGATATAATATAATATAATATAATATGATATAATATAATATAATATAATATAATATAATATAATAATATAATATAATATGATATGATATAATAATATAATATAATATAATATAATATAATATGATATAATATAATATGATATAATATAATAATATAATATAATATAATATAATATAATATAATATAATAATATAATAATATATAATATAATAAATAATATAATATAATATAATATAATATAGTATAATATAATATAATATAACATAATATAATATAATGTTATATAATATATGATATAATATATAATATTATATATTATACAATATTACGTATTTACTATAGTATAATATATGATATAATATATAATATTATATATTATACAATATTACATATTTACTATAGTGAGGGGTTTTTCTTTGTAGAGATATGACATCTGCTTCCCTATATTTTTACCTACTGAGCTTATTTCCTTTTTGTATTTGTTGATTCTCTGTGTTTACCTCAATATCCCCAGAACAACTGAAACCATAATCCAGCCATGAAAGTTCTCTTTCCCATAAGACAAAACATGAGCTCACCTGAAGCCAGGGTGTGCTTACAAGGTAGAAGATCTCATTGTACATATGTAACAGCTTCTGACATCTCTTGTCTGAATAGTCAAGGCGGTGGTGGAAAAGGATGTCGTGGATGACATTTAAGGGAGCACCACCGAGGACAAAGGTTGGATCAAAGGGCTGGGCTTAAAATAAAGTAGCAAAAGGATGGGAGATTTAATAGGCAATATTCTTATTAGATGCATGCGTATGTGTGTATGTGTGTATGTGATAGGATGGATGCCAAACTCCCCTCTCCATCCAATGTTTCAGTTTCTTACTCGTTATAAGTCCCTCCCACCAGGGAACAAGTCTCATTGTCTCTACATCTTCAATTTCCCTGTTGATCTATCTTGTGACATCAAAGGTATACAATTTCTCTGATTTAATCTTTCACTTACTTTAATGTTTTCATACTGCATGTATTTTTATTGCACTGAAAGGACAAGAGGCAGTGTTGAAAACCTACTCGTCTTCCACCACTCCCCTTCCTAATCTGGTAAGGACAGGAAAAGAAGAGAAACTAGTTTATTCACTTTTCTTGGTATGATGTTTACTAAAATGAGCTAGAATTTTGCAGGTGGCAATCCAAACCAATATTGTCAGTCTCCTGATAAAAATGGAAACACCACAAGATAAAAACAGTAATAATCTTACTCAAAATCATAAATTTAGAGCAATAAATGACCAAAAAAGCCAACTAGTCCAACCTCATCATTTTACAGATGAAGTAATTGAGGCCCCAGGAGATAAAATTACTTGACTAAGGTCAAATATGTAGTTGGCTTCCAACACAAGATACAAATCCAACTCCTCTGAAACCAGAGTCTATTCTCTATTTATTATCCCACGCGGCCTCCTAATTATTAATTGCTATTTTTATAGTGTTTTGTGATTTACAAATCTCTTTCACGTGCTTTCTCTTATTTGATCTGTACAACTACCTTATGAAATAGATCACACGGGCATTAGAATTATTAGCTGTATTTAACAGAAGAGGAAGCAGAAGGACAAAGGGATTAAGTGGCTTGTTCCAGGTCACCTGGAATCTACATGCAGGCTGAACATACGCCAGAAGGAAATTATCCTATTCGTAGCGTGGGATATTAATGTAGTAACTAAAGATGCTTTACTCTTCCTTCAAAAGTTCACTTAGTCTTGGGAATGAACCTCTGGAAAAGTTATTGACCAGTTTTCTACATTTGGAAAGGGACTAAAAACAACAATCACATTAGTTCCCCCTCTCCTAAACAGAAGAGTTGCAGTAGTAACCATTATCTGAGTGTCTATGATTTATTTAGAGATTTTGAAAAGTCCCAAGCTCTAGAAGCATAAAATCTATGATTTGCAAGGGACTTTGGAGCTCTGTACCTGCTACCTATTAGACCTGGGATAAATCACATCATCTCTCTGAGTCTCAGTTTCCTCATCTGTGAAATAAAAAGGGTTAAGTTCTATGACTTCTCTGTTCCCTCCCAATTCTATTGATATGAGCCCTTGATCATCTACTTCATCCCATTCCTGACAAAGGAGTAATTTTGAGAGTATATAGGACATATAATTTCCCCACTTCAACTAAAAGAATTTCAGAGATGAAAAATGCCATTTTTTTGGCCAGCTCTAGTGGTCAGAAATTCTTTTTTTTATTATTATTGAACTAAAATCTCTGTCTCTGTCTCTTTGTCTCTGCACATGTCTCTGTACCTCTCTTATTCAGGTTTTATTATACTTTATGGTCTTATTCTCCCCCAGTTAAATAATAAATCACATAGCACCTTGTACTTCTTCTAAGCCCTTACCACATTCTCACTTATATTATCATTTCTTGTGCTCCTGTCTTGTCTCCCTCACAAGAATAAGCTCAGTGAGGACAAGGACCACTATATATTATCTTCCCCCAGGGCCTCAAGACATAGTGAACATTTAACAAATGTTCACGAACAATTTGTATTCTTGAGTATCTCGAGCAGGAACTGAGATTCCCTCAGAATTCTTTCTTCATTGCTCTTCTTCCCCATTCCATAATCCCTGAGGACCGTGAGGGAGAATCGACGTGTGTCTTTCCATGTCTCTGAGTTGTTGAAAATAATTCCTAGGGAAGAAATATCAGCATATGTGTATTACACAGGAATATTACATATTACTTCATAGAATCAATTTAAGGGAAATTAGATAGGATATCAAAAAAGGCAAAAGTATATGGGAAGGATTTAGTTCCATTTTTCAGGGGCTTATATTCTCTTCAGGAATAAAACATGCACACGGATAAGCAAATTTGAAATCTGTATAAAGTTTGTAAAGTAAATAGATATCTTAGTAGGGAGAGAGCATTAATACCTGGGTTGGGGGTGTCAGAAAAGGCCTGGTATAGCATTTGACAAACAAACTGAACCTTGAAGGATATTAGGGATTCTAAGATGTAGAAGTGAAGAGGAAAACATTCCATGCATGGAGACTGACCTGTGCTAAGTGAAGGAACTGAGGGGATTCAAACACCAAGTGGTAGTGGTAATTGAGTGACTCCATCTTGTGACTCAATTCTGGAGGTAGCTCAGTTTCCTCTCTATTCAATTATGGGTCTGGTCCAATTTCTGTCTTTTAAGGAAACTTTATTCAATTGCGGGGATTTGGAGAAAATTATATTGGATTGTTTGCATTGGCCTTCATGGTGGGAAACTGAACCATCTCCACCTATTGCCTAGAGACTCTTAACTAAGGACCTAGCATATGCTGATGAGAAACCCAGTCCGATTTGAAAATAGATACAAGGAGTTTTCTCACAATTATACATCTCAAGCAACCCATATGTCTTATATGAAAACTGATCCCATAATGATCAATCAGTTTTGTGTGTGTGTGTTCCTTTGATTATTCACAGGCATCTGGGAGGAGTAGAACACCTTTTTTCTGATTTCAGGGAATTGCATGTATTTACTCTTCCCCTCCTAACTTGGAAAGTCCCTAATCTTTCTTACAATTAGAAATCAGATTACCTAATGTTGTAGTCTGGTTAATTGTTTTCTTTTAATTAGTTGGTTTTATTTGATTAATTGATTTTAATGAATAGAAAAATCTGTATCTCCCTATATTCAGGTCTAATGCCAAAGCTGAGGAAACCCACTGGCCCTGATTTGTTGGGCAATTGGCATGCATTGCTTCATAAATTGATATGCTCATAAGCTTGAACCTTTGTTTCCTCAGTTATTTCACTTTCATCACAAAAGGCACATAGGTAGGAAATGGGAGGTTGTGGGTGGGAAGCAGCAGATAGGTCAATTCAGGGGGAATATAGGATTTGTAGGAGCAGTGACATACAAATCAGTACACAATGATAAGTTGGTACTATATCATGATGGTACTATCTCATTATGTGCCAAGCCTAGGAGTTATCTTATACTAGAAGAAAGAAAGAGCTGCTCTCATTCATTCAATGATATAAAAAATGCATGGTGGAAAGAACAAACAATTTGGAGTCAGATAGCCCATGTTCATTCCTGACTCTTGTGACTTAGAGATATTGCTTCACCTTTGGGCTTCAGCTTTCTCATCTATAAAGTGAAAAGTTTAGATTAAATGACCTTTGAGGTCCCTCCTTTCAATCTCTAAATTTGCATTCATATGAAAATTGGATTTCAGTCAGTGCCCAGTGGATTCACATTCAAATCCTAGCTCTCCCATTTGCTACCTTATGATCTTGGACAAGTCCCTTAATCTCATGGCCTTATTTTTTTTTTCACTGAAAAATGAAAAAAGTTGAATCTCTAAAGTGTTTCCAATTTCGACATCAAATGATCTAAGAACATCTATTGATTACTATTACCTTCTGCTTAACACATATTTCGAAAGCTTAAGTTTAAAAGGCTGAGTGACCTACCATAATTCTGATGGGCCTCAAAGACTGGTATATCTGCTCTCCCTGCAAACTCATTCTTAAGATCGAGCAGAGCTTCCTTCACAACTTTGTATCCATGTAGCACCACAATACGCTTTGGGCCAATATATAATGTGAACACAGGGCCATATTCTTTAGCTAGCTGTAAAAGACCACACAGAGAGATGCATACAAACAAAAACCAAGGTCATTCAACATTTGATAACAAAAGTGTTTTGTTGTTTTACCTTAGGGGTTATCTTCTGTGGCTAGTCATTTTAAAACCAAAATGGCTGACAAACCTCATAATAGGCATCTAGGATTATGGATGTTGCTAATTTTAATGATAATGTAATGCCATGTCTAAGGTTTGCTGTATATTTCACAATAGTTGGATGCAGAAATGAAAATTCAGATGAATTTTAGGTAGCAGGGTATGTGGAGGAGTAGGAAGATATGTTGAAGCTGGGTAGGGGGTGGTTTTTTGAATCACCTTTCTTCAAAGAGTTGAAAGACTTACAGGAGTTAGTTCTGCCCGTGACTGGAAATGTAAGGTGTCAATGAAAGAGCTGTCAGATAGGAGAAAGGTTCATGGTATAAAGGGTAAGGGAGGAGGTAGGGTTTATCCATAAATGACTAATGTAGAAACAAAAGTCATAAGTAATACTTTATAAAAGAATCAATAAAAAAAAAAAGATTCAGTAATGATTCAAAATTTGGATAAGGTCAGAAAAGTCCAGAAACAGGATCTTGGATACTGACATTGATGCTGAAATTGCCATACATAGACAAATACCACCTGATTTTATTCTTACGGGAAAGGTAATTAGATATAGGAAGGCTCCAACTGATGTTTTAACTCCACATTCTTAGACCAATCCAATCTAAAGAAATTTCCTATCCTTGGGTCACCTTCCCTCCAATACTTCTCCTTATTAATCTTAAACGCTTTCTCATGAAGAAGTTGAAAACAATGGATGCTAATGAGTTAGTACGTCACTCATGAGCGGAATACAAATTTGTTTTGAAACAGGTTCTAAAAGTAAGGGATGGAGAAGGGGTTAGGGATTATTCAGGGTAGGGATGGCCTTCGACAAAGCTGGCCACTGCTTCTTCATAGGTCAGGC